CCCTCCCTCCCTCCCTCCCTCCCTCCCCCTCTCGCCTCCCCCGCCGTGGAAAGAGACAGAAAGTTTTTGCCACGGAAAGGAAAGACTATAGCTGTTAGTAACTTTAACTTAGTCATTAATTATGTCAATTAATGTTACTTATTTCAATTAATGTGGTTTGTAAAGACCATAGCTGTTATTGACTTAGGAACTATGTTACCAAACGGGTCGCCCGGGTCAGCTTGGCCCGGAAAAGGAAAGTCTATAGCTGGCAAGGAAGTCCTCTGAGCGGCATCATGCATGGCACATCATTTATAGAGGCACGTCGCTGTTCACCAATTGTGTGTGTCTTGAGCGTTCAGTACTGTGTACTGCTTTGATAGGTTGCAGCCGCTCTCTGAATGGGAAAATGGAACATCGTGTGTCTGTAGTGTTTAGTATTGTTTAGCTTCAACAAGTGGCAGTTGTGGCTGGAAAATTCAGTGTCCTTGTCCCTGAAATCCGTACCCAAAATTCAGGATAAGTGTCCGTCCACTGTTTTCTTCAAGAAATTTAAATCCTGCAATTTTTTTTTTTTGAATTCCCCCCCCCCATTTTTTTCTTCTTTTTTTCCTCTCATGCTTCACCTAATTTGCGCCCCACGTATTTCGGGGTACATTTTTTTTTATTATAGTTGGCACACATACACACACACAGACACAGACACACATACACACACACACACACACACACACACACACACACACGATAAGTGTCCGTCCACTATTTTCTTAAAAAAAAAAAAAAAAAAAAAAAAAAACTCCCCCCTGTTTCTTTTCTTGTTTTTTTTTGTTTTTCATGCTTCACCTAATTTACGCCCCCCCGACCTGCTATTTTTGTTTTTTATTTTGTATTTCTTCGTTATTGCGATATTGATTGAAACAACAATTCCTAAAACAACTCTAAGTAGGGATCTAACAACTCTTAAGTAAATCCCGAAAATCCTGAAGTGTAATTCGGTAACGAAATCCCGAAAACAGCTCGAGATATAACTCCTTGACAACTCTAACTAAATCCCGAAAATCCCGAAGTGTAATTCGGTAACGATATCCCGAAAAACACGTCGGGATATAACTCACTAACAACTCTTAAGTAAATCCCGAAAATCCCGAAGTGTAATTCCGTAACGTAACGAAATCCCGAAAACACCTCAAGATATAACTCGCTAACAACTCTTAAGAAAATCCCGAAAATTTCGAAGTGTAATTCAGTAACGAAATCCCGAAAACACCTCGGGATATAACTCGCTAACAACTCTTAAGTAAATCCCGAAAATCCCGAAGTCTAATTCGGTAACGAAATCCTGAAAAAAACTCGGGATATAACTCGCTTACAACTCTAAGTAAATCCCGAAAATCCCGAAGTGCAATTCGGTAACGAAATCCCAAAAAACACGTCGGGATATAACTCACTAACAACTCTAAGTAAATACCGAAAATCCCGAAGTGTAATTCGGTAACGAATTCCCGAAAACACCTCGGGATATAACTCGCTAACAACTCTCAGTAAATCTCGAAAATCCCAAAGTGTAATTCGGTAACGAAATCCCGAAAACACCTCGGGATATAACTC